TTGGGGTTATAGAATGGAGAAGAAAGCATGTGGATCGAATACCGCCTCTTTAAAGCCTTGGCCCGGAAATAAATAATATCGCTACTAGTTACATTTCAGTGATGAGGGATGTCACATCCCCCTTCCCCACTGCCAGCATACTGGCAATAGAGTCGACCAGTGTGCCAGAGGAGGCGGGCAAGACACCATATGGATGAGCACTTTCTGTCTCTCCATCAACTTACAGATTAGGTGTGCAATAAAAGAGCAACTATTAGAATTTGTCATGAAAGCAACCCCTCCCATTCCCGGTGGAGTTTCTCAGAAGGCTAAATCTGCCTTGCAATTCTATAGCTTTTGGAGAGCCTACCATGGGACACGTGCTTCAACATACAGGAGGACGTCAATTTTCAAGAGGATCCTGTCAAACTTCAGCAGGGAGGGTGTGACTTCTGTGCTCAAATATGATGATTTGGAGTGTCCTTTGCAGTACTCTATGGTCTCAACAGGATAAGAAGGTTGCCCTTCTACTGAAGCATGGTCAACACCTCAGCTTGTGAGTCCCAGAAACCTATAACATGACTGAGTGTGTGCGGCACTGTTACAGCTGTCATCAGGCACAAGGGAAAGCCACCACCTTCCTTGAGCTAGTATGCAGGTGAGAGGTGGTGGAGGAATGCTGAATTATTTTAATCTTTGCCATTCAAAGATAGCATGGCTGATAAGATACTATTTTTCCTTGCTTAGAGGGACTCTGCAATGTCAAAGAATTCAGCTTCCATAAATGTTTGGTAGACAGTGACGGCCATGGCCTTACCGCACCTCCAACTTACGAGCAAGGCTTTGGTTATCGAGCACCTAGGTGAGCTCTTTTGTCAGTGTATTTGTTCACAGGCCAGTCTAAAATACAAGACACCATGAAATACCTAGTGCATGTATCAGGATGATTGCAAAACCTTCTCCGCCTGCAGCATTATCTCCTCAAACTGGTAGTTTAGGTACCAAACTATATTGACAAGCACATTTGGGAAATATTTTTCGAGACTCTACTAGGGACACATGGGGGCTCGAAACCTCAGTATCCAAAATGACCTTTTACTTGGATGTGACTAAATCTCTTTGTCCGTCATCACCTTTGATGAACGGGGGTTTGCTGCTATCACACATGATCCCCATGAAGAAAATGATGGCCAGGGAGTTGGAAAGCTCAGAGGCAGGAGGAGGGCAGCTGATTGTGGGCTGTCTATTACATTGGCAGCAAGGGACATCCCTCAGAGGAGGGGAAAGGGAAGAACTGGCCAGCAGGGCATACTGGGAATGACCCAGTGGAAGGACACTGCAATTCGGGACAGTGCTGGGAATGAACCACAGCCAGCACCTGAGTAGAGAGTCAGCTGTCAAAGACCCTTGGGGCAAGGGACAGTAAACGAAGCTCACAGACATTCCCCAAACTGTGCATTGTCCTCATGTGCACCTCACCTTTCTTCTGTGAGCCTGCTTTTAACGTTCGGCATGAACCAGCTAGTCTATGCGCTCCGATCACCACACTAGGACAGGAATTCGGGACCCCTTCCGTTACTGCCCCAGGAATCCCACCCACAATCCCAAAGTGGCTGTTAAGAGCAGTTTTTGTTCCAGTATTCAGTCTCTAAACGTTCAGAGACCCGGTCTGAGTGTGCGCTTTCCTCCTGAGTCTTTGAGTATCCCCCAGCCCACCATTCTGCCTTACTTGAAATGACTTCCCTCTGGAGGACTTGCCCTGTCTGGCCCCAAACCGCCTTGCCTCGGGCAACCTTCACTTGACTGCTCTCATGGGGAACCTCTTCTCTTCTTCGCCCTTTCCTATCAGTTGAGCTTTCTGAATTACAGGGAATCTGTCTGTCTTCCTTTCATGGTAGCTGGTTCCAGCCTCATGATTCTATGGGCAGCGGCTCTGCCTTCTTTTTCTTACCAGGCCCCATACCACCATGGCCCTTCCCAAGAGCAGATGCTCACGTAAGTTTGGGGAATAGAAGAGAAATTGAGTCAGAGGACTAACTTGTTAAGAGTTACTCTCTCTGACATTCTTCAATAAGCTAAGGATATTGAGGTATAAATCAATTTACAAAAGAAAAGACTGAGAACAATAAGCCAAATCAAGGTTGATGACGTTTTATTTATTTATTTATTTTATATTCCATTTTCCCAAACTTTAACTGTGGAATTCTTCAACACTTCCACGAAAAACTCTGCTGTGATTCGATCTTTTTTGTCTTGAAGACAAAAAAAAGATCCTCAGTGTGCACTACGGGTGGAAGAAGACGGGGCCATGGAATCAGGCCTTGCTGTGGCACTAGTGCCAGCCCTCCCAGCACCTCTGGTGCGTGCCCTTTCTTCTCGTAAAGCCTCTTCATATTGTAAGGGGAAGGCTCTTGGAGTTGTGTCAGCAACTTTGGCCAAAAAGTGGAGGACTTTCATCTTGCTGGTCTCAGCATAAGCTCTTGGGCCCCACAGGTACTCATAGAGAGGCGGGTCACTGCCGGGCACCTGGCGGTACTCCAGGTACTTCAGCTTCACCAGATCGTTATTGACGAACTTTCTCGGCTCTCCATAAATGAAATGCCTCCTGCCGGCGTATACCTTCAACACTTTTAGAAATTGCCAGACGTCTTTCTCGGCGGCACAATTGCCCTTCATAAGGATGAAGCCCAGGATATTCATCACTAGGCCGGTCCTGGGCCAGCCCCTGCCTGCACGCATCCTCCCATTATTGGGGAGTTTCAGTTTGCTGACCAGCTCGTACACGTGTTTG